ATTAAAAGATGCCTGCTTCTTGGGGAAAAAGCAATGAGAAACCTAGACAGCATCTTAAAAAGTAGAGGCAGAACCTTGCCAACAAAGGTCCGTATAGTAAAAGCTATGGTTTTCCCTGTAGTGATGTATGGAAGTGAGAGCTGGACCATAAAGAAGGCTGATCGCCGAAGAATTGATGCTTTTGAATTATGGTGTTGGAGGAGACTCTTGAGAGTCCCGTGGACTGCAAGAAGATCAAACCTCTCCATTCTTAAGGAAATCAGCCCTGAGTGCTCACTGGAAGGACAGATCGTGAAGCTGAGGCTCCAATACTTTGGCCACCTCATGAGAAGAGAAGACTCCCTGGAAAAGACCCTGATGTTGGGAAAGATGGAGGGCACAAGGAGAAGAGGACGACAGAGGACGAGATGGTTGGACAGTGTTCTCAAAGCTACCAGCATGAGTTTGACCAAACTGCAGGAGGCAGTGGAGGACAGAAGTGCCTGGCGTGCTCTGGTCCATGGGGTCACAAAGAGTCGGACACGACTAAACAACTAAACAACAACAACATACTTTCTAATTCCAAATTGTTTATTTTGGCCCCCCCCCCAAAAAAAGCATAAGTCCGAAATGTCGAAAGATCGAACTTGAACTTGTTTGCCCAAAAGCAAAACCAGGGAAATAGCTTGTCGTGACATCAGACTTCCTCTGCTCTGGGTAAATTCTAAACATTCAGCTAACCTTTTGAAGAGGGCAGTCCTATGCAGCTTTACTCATAAATGCATAAAAGCCGCTTCCCTCTCATGATCTCTAGCAACTGGTATTAAAAGCACACTGCCAGTAATCATGGATAGCCTTAGCCTCTGTGAATTTGTCTAATCCTCTTTTAAAGGCAGGGACGCGGGTGGCGCTGTGGGTTAAACCACAGAGCCTAGGGCTCGCCGATTGGAGGTCAGCAGTTCGAAACCCCGCGACGGGGTGAGCTCCCATTGCTTGGTCCCTGCTCCTGCCAACCTAGCAGTTCGAAAGCACATCAGAGTAGAAAGTAGATAGTGTGCAAGTAGATAAATAGGTACCACTCCGGTGGGAAGGTAAATGGTGTTTCCGTGCGCTGCTCTGGTTCGCCAGAAGTGGCTTAGTCATGCTGGCCACATGACCCAGAAGCTGTACGCCGGCTCCCTCGACCAATAGTGAGATGAACACTGCAACCCCAGAGTCAGCCACGACTGGACCTAATGGACCTTTTAAAGCCATCATGCTATTTTATTTCCTAAGATTTATATATCATTTGGGGGGGGGACGGACTTCTGCCTATGTCTCCCCTCCCCCCACACACTTTTTACTATCTCCCCCACCCACACTTTTGCAGGTCAGGAATACACAACTCCATGGGCTGAAGAAATCTTATCACATTCCTTCTCTCTTTAAAAACGGCTGGTTTATTAGTAGGTCCTAGCAGGCGGGTGGGGTAAGCTGGGCTAACCAGCCTGGAGAGATTTTACAGGAAATATTCCCCTGAAAAGGTGAGGCAGCACAGAGGGACACCTTACCAAGTGGTCACAAGCCCATTTTGGCAGGTATCCCTTGTTAAGTGGTTTTATTCAGCCAGTCACAGGGAAGGGTGTTGTTGCAGGAGAGACACTGAGGGAAAGAACAGGGAGAGCAAGAGCAGCGTGCCAGAGGAAATTCAGAGTGTAGCTGGCAAGAGAGGACAGCCACGCCCCAGGAGGAGAAGGAGACTACATAGGGAGAAAAAGGAGGAAGTTACCGTATTTTTTGCTCTATAAGACGCACCAGACCACAAAACACACGCACCTAGTTTTTGGAGGAGGAAAACAAGAAGAAGAAAAATTCTGAATCTCAGAAGCCAGAACAGCAAGAGGGATCGCTGTGCAGTGAAAGCAGCAATCCCTCTTGCTGTTCTGGCTTCTGGGATAGCTGCGCAGCCTGCATTCGCTCCATAAGACGCACACACATTTCCCCTTACTTTTTAGGAGGGAAAAAGTGAGTCTTATAGAGCAAAAAATACGGTACATTCCAGTAATCCAGGAATTAGGTATGCATGGACATCTGCAATATTTTGGGAGAGGGGTGGTAAAACACTCAAAGTAAGGAGGAAGCAAGTACCTCACCAGAATATGAGGAAGGGGCAATGATGTCAAATGATACTTCTTCTACTACTGTAATTCCCCCCATACCCCCAAACTCTGGGAAAGAAACACATTTACACAGTTCTCAAAAGTCTGGATTTGGCAGCCCTCGCATTTTAGCAGAACCCCTAATCAAAAAAGAAACAATTAGATTAAAGCCAGTGTGGTGTAGTGGTTAAGAGCGGTAGTCTCGTAATCTGGGGAACCGGGTTCGGGTCTCTGCTCCTCCACATGCAGCTGCTGGGTGACCTTGGGCCACTCACACTTCTCTGAAGTCTCTCAGCCCCACTCACCTCACAGAGTGTTTGTTGTGGGGGAGGAAGGGAAAGGAGAATGTTAGCCACTTTGAGACTCCTTAAAGGGAGTGAAAGGCGGGATTTCAAATCCAAACTCTTCTTCTTCTAAATTCTCATTTCGAAATCATTTTCCTCTCCACATTAGTGTTGGTCGCAAATTAGTCAATCGCCGGAGAAACAAGAACCTGGAAACTGTTTCCCTGTTGGCCAACATGATAATTATGTTATTCCCCGGAGGTTCCGAGGACAGTCTGGGGATGGGATGGCTCCTCCTCTCTCGCAGGTCCCCGGGAATAGAAATTCATGGGGGGGGATGTGTTTTTCCAGCCACAGGCAGCGAGCTGGAGCCTTGCTATCTCTTCTGCTTGTCATGTTGAAAGGCTGCAGTGTTTTGCCCTTCGTACAGCAGACTCTTAAGGATAGTGGAAGCCTGCAGTCGAGCAGGAAACGGGAAGATGGGGGGGGATGCAACCCCCACCTCCTGTCCTGCACATGCATAAAAGGGGGGTGGGCTGCCTCGATTCGAGAGAGAGGCAATGGAAGTTCTGGTGCGCATCTTTGCATGGCGTACAAATGTTGCACATAAACCTTACTACGGTGGTACCTCTGGTTACATACTTAATTCGTTCCGTAGGTCCGTTCTTAACCTGAAACTGTTCTTAACCTGAAGCACCACTTTAGCTAATGGGGCCTCCCGCTGCTGCCGCGCCACCGCCGCGCGATTTCTGTTCTCATCCTGAAGCAAAGTTCTTAACCCGAGGTACTATTTCTGGGTTAGCGGAGTCTGTAACCTGAAGCGTATGTAACCCAAGGTACCACTGTAGTCTAATTGCAGAGGAAATTGGTATGGAAAGAGGCAGGCAGGAAGTTGTGAGCAGGGCGCTGCCTCCATATGGGACTGGCAAGAGAGATGGTGGATAGATTGGAGCTGCTTCTACTTGCCAGCTCGGCCCTTTCCCTTTTACTTACTCCGGTTAGGGTCCCAAAAAGTTAATACACTGGGACAGTGCTTGTATTTAGATGGCGGTTGCCCAGACCTGCTGCTCCCAGTGTGCCTCCAAATGGGAAGGTGTCCTCCTAAGTCTGTAGATCAGGTGGTATATGGTGTGGAAGATGCATGTTCAGGAGTTCCTCCTGCCTTTTAATCAATAAAGGTAAAGGTAAAGGTACCCCTGACCATTAGGTCCAGTAGCAGACAACTCTGGGGTTGCGCGCTCATCTCGCTCTATAGGCCGAGGGAGCCGGTGTTTGTCCGCAGACAGCTTCTGGGTCATGTGGCCAGCATGACTAAGCCGCTTCTGGAGAACCAGAGCAGTGCACAGAAACGCCATTTACCTTCCCGCCAGAGTGGTACCTATTTATCTACTTGCACTTTGACCCCGTCGCGGGGATTCGAACTGCCGACCTTCCGATCGGCAAGCCCTAGGCTCTGTGGTTTAGACCACAGCGCCACCCACCTCCCTTAAAGGTAAATAGTCCCTGCTTTGAAGGCCAGGGAAGCTGCCAGGGGAAGGGGGGAACAAACCTTCCTTTGCCCAGTTTCCCTGATCAAAATCCCACCACGAAGCTCCTCAGAACAAACGATCATTTTCCAGAGCAAGGATCTTGGAGTAAAACTGATCTCCAAGATAAGTCACAGAACATGGGGGGGGGGGCGGAGGGAACACACACACCACGTATATCTTTTAAATTATTGCACATTCATTGTATATATTACATGTATAAAATATTCAGAATGGTCCTTTCGAAAGTATATACAGGTCAACTCAATTCCACTGAGGAGCAGCTCTAGCTCCACTAAAGCAGCAAATGGGAAGAGAGGAACTTCCAATCCACCAAGTTCCCCTTTGTATTATTATTTTATTTTTTAAGAGATACCATAGGGGCTTTCTAGATCAGTGTTTCCCAACCGGTGTTCCGCGGCACACTAGTGTACCGCGGAACGTTGCCTTGTGTTCCGTGGGAGGGAGGCGGGCGACTCGGGCGGCGAGAGGCGGGGCGGCGGCGGCGAGCACACGCGGGGCGGCGAGCAAGCTCCCTCCCACATCCCATCGCCGCTCGCTTCGGCCGGCCTACTGGAGGAAGGCGCGAAAACCTCGCGCATGCGCAGGCCTTCCGCCTGCGACAGCCCAGTAGGCCGGCCGAAGCGAGCAGCGATGGGATGTGGGAGGGAGCTCGCTCGCCGCCCCGCGTGTGCTCGCCGCCGCCGCCCCGCCTCTCGCCGCCCGCCTCCCTCCCACGGCACACCAGCCTACCTCCGTGTGCCTTTGCCCAAAAAAGGTTGGGAAACACTGTTCTAGATGATGTCATTTTTCATTTTTGTTTCGAGGGTGTGAAATAATCACGCAAGCTGCAGCTCGGGCGTCACATGGGATTCAGACCTATTTCCCCCCACCGTGATGCTGTTAACTAAATTTCCCCAGCCCTTACTTTGCCGCGGTTGAGTGCAATTCCTTCCAAAGCGACGGTGTCACTCGAAATCACGAGTGCTGTGTGTGGCGTGCCGCTGCGCAAGCGGATATCCAGCCGTGCCCGAGATATCATTGGTAAGAAACGACACATTTCTCCCCACGTGCACCATTCTGTAAACATACAAAAATGTTTTATCCTTGATTTTAAGAACCAGTGGGTGGGGGAACCTGTTGCCCTCTGGGTGCTGTGGAACTCCAGTTCCCTTGGGCCATGGGTCAGTCAGGCTGGAGTGGGAGGGGGTGCAATCCAATAGCATCTGCAAGCTTTGCATCTTTGCTTTGGGCAGTAGGTACTTCCCCACTATGACACGTAAGCACAGACTCATCCTTGCAGCCCTTTAAATATTGTTTTCACATGGCAGACCTCAAGTCTAGCTCCTCATTCCACAGCAACAGCTTGCTGCGTCGGGAGTCTTTTTTGTTTTCTTGTTCCTTTTTCAATTTCCACAGTGTCTCCATCTCCGCTCCCTATAGCACACGCGTTTCCCAACTCCAAAGCAGCGATCTTCCATTGCGTAGGACAGGATATCACACTCCAGCTAGCATGGGGTATCAGGTTAACAGGAGCAGGGGAGCAGGGGGGGAGGGATGCAACTGGAATAATTCGGTGGGATTTATGCACTTTGGTCTTGTTTCGAGATAGTACGTCGTAAGAAAGTGAAGCTGTTCTGCCTGGTACTTTCATCTACTCGTTCAAAAGAGGAGTGCGAGGAAGTAGCAAAAAATGCTCCCAAAATCTTGCTTTTATCATTACCTAGGAATCAAGGCCAATTCGTCTGTTACAAGAACAGTGGTGTTAAAACTCTCATGTGGCTCCTTTTCATGGCATTCCAATGATGTTACAAAGAGGATCTTGGAGGAAGGGGCAATAACATAACTGCAGACACATGCCAGATATTTAAAAGCACATTCGACACACATTGAAAGCACATGAGCCTCCACGAAAGAATCCTGGGAACTATAGTTTCACCCTTACCGTGCTGCAGTTCCCAGCAGCCTTGACAACTGCACTTCGTGGAAAGCTATGTGCTTTCAACGTTTGTTGAATATGCTTTAAATGTGTGGCACAGATTGACCAGAAACACACAGCTCTTACAATGTAAGAACTCAGCCGTGCGTTTCAGGCACACGTTCTGTGAACCAGCTTCTGGGAAGTTTTGAACGCCGTCTAGCTGAGCGCTCCAAAGATTCTAAGGCACACATCTTTGGGACTTTCATCCCACACATAAATCTTTAGAATGTACACAGGGCAAAGTAACATGAGACGCAGACCTGAGAAACCCTGCCTGAATAATCAAGAGTAGTACAAAAGGAGCCCGTGAGAGAACACAGATTTCAGAAACACTGAAATTCCTGAACAAAACACTGCTGAGCATGTTAAAGGCATTTCGGTATGGAGTAAAGCACTGAGGTGAACCACAGTCTTGTCTTGTTCCACAAGATAAGGGTGCAGAATCTGACCAACTTTTGCGACGGCTTGGAACGCACCAGTTTGTCTCCCTAGGTTGGCAGACTTTCAAGCTCTCTGCTGGGAACAAAACAAGTATCCCAAAGTCCTTACAGTTTTAGAACTGCATATTCAGGGATGGGGAGCATAGCGAAGAAAACCAGGAGGGTAGTCCCCGTTGAGCTCTTTGGAGGCAACAACCGTTGCTAGCACCTAGAACAGGGAGAGGATGACATCTCTAAGGAAGCTACGCAGAAGATTTGGGTTTCCCAAGACTTCTCCTATGTGGGACAGCACCACCAGGGCTGTCGACTTGCGCTGCAAAGGATCCTTCCGGTGAGATTGAGTAATGAGGCCCAGAGTTAAAGCGCTGCATCTCTAATCGGAGACACTCTGGACTTGCCCAAGACTTCTTTGATAAGCAATCAGGCACCAACTCAGCTGGGACTTTTTCAAGGAACATAAAATAAGCCTCTTGTAATTATTGCTCACTGCACTTGCTTGAGTAAACAGAACCGCACTAAGTTGGCAAAAAGCAACAACTCACGCAGCAAATACTTTTGGTCCTGAAGAAATTAAGGCCACTTTAAAAGAGGACTTCTTGGATGAAAGGAGCACGTTTTACAGGGACAGCTCACATCTGATTCCTAGTCCCAGGTTAAAAAAAAAAGTCCATGTCTGCTGTGGGTCTGAAATCCAGGTCTCTTCAACCCAGGTACAAAACTGCAGGTGCCAAAAAGGTGCGCTGTGCCACCCAAAATGAAATCTGTCTTACTCTCTTCAAATGGCAACAGGTACCCCACCTACACTTCTCAGTATTGCCATTTGTCATCCTCTCCCTCCTCTTGCGTGCATTGGAAGGAGAGTCTTCGATCCAAGGATACAGAAATCTTGCTCCATAAAGGCCACTGGTGATACTGGAATGTGGCTATGCCTTCAGAGCAAAATACCCAGGGCACTGTTAGTGTGGCACATAGGCAAAATAAATACAAGAGGTGATTCTTAAGGCAATATTCTCTTTTCTCCCTTTTTTGGTATCGTTGGAAGTCCCGGTAAGCACAGCTAGTCTTGGGAGGAACCGGTTTCCTAGCCGTCCCTTCCCATCATGGCCATGTTCTCCAAATGGGTGTGAACATGTGACATGCTCGGCGTGCTGCTATCCACTTTGAAGCTTTTGGGAGTCCGCCTGGCTTTCAGGAGAACCAGAAAGGTGTCGGTGGAGATGGCTCCAAATTCAGCCGTGAAGGTGCCGTAGAAGACGAGGACGTTTATGATGAACATCCATTCGCAGAGGGCGGCTAGGTGTTGCAGGACAAAACTCTGCTGGATGAAAAATACGCCACATGGGGGTGCTGAAGTCAAGGCAAACAAGCTGTGGGAAGGATCTCACCAGAAACAGGACAAGGCTTAGTAAACTGGCTTAGTAAACAGGACAAGGCTTAGTAAACTGGCTTAGTAAAATTAGTGGTGGTAGGCTCCCATCAGCTGGATCCAGAATCGTCAGCTTGGTAACAGCTGGCTTTGAGTAGTCCACACAGGTGCAAAACCAGCATATATACACCTGTAACAGCCTTGTCAAACACTTAAGCATCTTAAGGCAAGAAAGACCTATTCAGAATGCTACTCTGAGCAGCCTTACCTGTTTGGGTTTTGTTTTGTTTTTTCTGAACTTCAGCACTCACTAATTTTACAGAAAGTGAAGAGTTCAAACGGGAGCCTGCAAGCACCGCCTGTGAAAATCCCCAGCCGTTTATTGTAGCCGTTCCTTATGATCTCAGTCTCATAAAACAGTATGCAAACCTTATTTGAACCGAGCTGGCTTCTTGTCATCAAGTTTCATCATACTGTAAAAAGCAGGCAAAAACCGCAGCAGCAACTTTAAATGCCGCTATCTGACGTGAAACGTTTTGTTTCCCTTTTGAATGAACTATATTCTCTTTGATGCTCACAATTAGCTGTTTCCCCAGCTAATGAATTCTCCTTTTGCAGTATCTCTGGCAATATCAGCCCATTAGGAAGAGGGCAAGCTGAAAAATGGTCTACCTCACCTCATTTAGCCTGTCTCCCAAGCATCGCATCCCAGGTAAAGTCAGGGGCCGGCACAACCATTAGGCAGTGTCGTGGTTGCCTCAGGCTGTGGATGCTAGGGAAGAGGTGGAAGAAGCAGACCCAGTGCCATTCCTCCTGAGCTGCAGAGTTGTTCTCTGTGCCAGGAACCCTGCTCTACAGCGGCTGGGGGCATTGTCCTATCTCTCACACTGAAGTAAGATTCAACTGCGAGTCCAATCGACCTCTTTACATGGGATTGGGAAGGGGCGCCATCTTATCCTGAGCCTCAGGCAACAAAATGTCTTGAACCATTTCTGGCCTAAAGGCTGGGGAAGACAAAAACACAGTCTCCATATAGTGGGATCACACACTAACTCAAATAAACATGAAAAAACAACAACTTAAAAAAAATTGCAAGGCCTTAAACACCACCCTTGTTGTTTGTTGGAGTGGTCACCCATCACACCTCAAAAGGCTTTGGGTGCATATTAACACTCTTGCTTCTTAATTTTTTTACCGGTCTCAAGCCCTGGGAAAATCCAGTGCCCTCCCGTCACATTCATTCCTCCCTCTCGCCCCGGCAACCTACAAGTTAATTATTCGTGGATAGTTTAGAGAGGTGCTGAACTGGAACAACCTAGAACCTGCTACTACACATTTACAGGAAAAGATGTGCCACGTCAAGTGTATTTAGCTACTTATTCCCCACTTTTTAAATATCTACAGCAGGCACCCCCCCCCAAACTCGGCCCTCCGGATGTCTTGGGACTACAACTCCCATCATCCCTAGCTAACAGGACCAGAAATAGACTGGAAAGAGAAGTTGATGAATTGCAACTTATTGCCAAACTTAAAACCATGGAGAGACCTGGTCTGAATAGAGGCATTGGATTCTTCTCTCATTATACATGATAAAGCTATTTTTAGCCATCTCACCCCTTGCTTTTTCCTGTAAAACCAATTGCAGTCCTTAACAGTCGTCAACAGGTTTACCACACCCATTTCCACCACCCTTCTGAGTATTACCCCTCCCCACCCACTCACCAACAGTCGCCCAAAACAACCGCTATTGATAGGGTTATCATCTTGGGAGCGAAAAGATCCCTTTTTAGGGAGACTTTCTTTTAGCAAAGTGTGGCTGCAAGTTGGAAATCGGAGGAGGAGGAAGGCTTCTTAACTTCCACACTGTAGGCTCTTTTCCAGGGACAAATCCCCCCCCCAACCATTTATCCCTTGGCCAGGGGAAACAATGAGATGCACATTGGTTTTCTCCAGTGGGGCTAAAAGTGGCTAGGATGCAGTTTTCAGCTGCAAAACAGCCCAAGAGGAAAATATTAAGAAGCCCCTCCGCACCGGCCTCTTTCAAATTGCTCTCTCGTCAGCTGGTGTTCTGCCGAAACAATAGGTAAAGGTAAAGGTACCCCTGCCCGTACGGGCCAGTTGTGTCCGACTCTAGGGTTGTGCGCCCATCTCACTTAAGAGGCCGGGGGCCAGCGCTGTCCGGAGACACTTCCGGGTCACGTGGCCAGCGTGACAAAGCTGCTCTGGTGAGCCAGCACCAGCGCAGCACACGGAAATGCCATTTACCTTCCCGCTATAAAGCGGTACCTATTTATCTACTTGCACTTAGGGGTGCTTTCGAACTGCTAGGTGGGCAGGAGCAGGGACCGAAAGACGGGAGCTCACCCCGCCGCGGGGATTCGAACCGCCGACCATACGATCGGCAAGTCCTAGGCACTGAGGTTTTACCCACAGCGCCACCCGCGTCCCGCGGAAACAATAACAACCCCTAAAAAGCAGCAATGAACTCTGCTAACATGTGATTTCACCTTCTGAGGAAAGGAGGACTTCTAATGCATCTTCCCATACAACCCCACCACCCCACCCCCGGGGTAGGATGCCTTCTGTCTTGAGCAACCCTGATAAAACCTCATTTCGCCTTTGTTTATTTAAATCTCCCAAGGCAGGCACCTTGTAACTTTCCAAAGAGGTTTAGGGTAATATTTAGCCCAAACCTCTTGCTCTCTGCACATTCCACCTACTGCTCCTTGTCCTTTCCTCAGAAATGCCACAAGTCCAGTACTTCCTGGCCCCTCTTTCCTCTCCCAGCCAACCAATTCCTCCCCCCGCCCCGCATACCCCTATAGCAGGCACTATGAAGCTTTCACGCTGCAAGGAGCTGGAGTGTGGACTCTAGAAGGAACCTTTTATTAAGTCCATCGCAGAACTGCACACTCTTTCCAGCATGAGTCTTCCAGGGCCCAACTGGAAGAGTCGCTGGAGGTCCATGGCAGTTTCTTTCACCCATTTAAAGGTAAAGGTAAAGGGACCCCTGACCATTAGGTCCAGTCGTGGCCGACTCTGGGGTTGCAGCGCTCATCTCGCTTTATTGGCCAAGGGAGCCGGCATACAGCTTCCAGGTCATGTGGCCAGCATGACTAAGCCACCTCTGGCGAACCAGAGCAGCGCATGGAAACGCCGTTTATCTTCCCGCTGGAGCGGTACCTATTTATCTACTTGTACTTTGATGTGCTTTCAAACTGCTAGGTTGGCAGGAGCAGGGACTGAGCAACGGGAGCTCACCCCGTCATGGGGATTCGAACCGCCAACCTTCTGATCGGCAAGTCCTAGGCTCTGTGGTTTAACCCACAGCGCCACCCACGTCCCATTTATATTTCTTAAAAATTCAACCACAGCACCTCCTCAATTGCACTAGGACCTCAGCAGTAGGGGTGGGGTGGGGCAGAATATCACCTGTTCATTCTGCTCCATTTTCTCGATGTGATTCTGACCTCTGCAATTTAGGGGAAGCGCATGGCTCTTCCCAAAGAGATGTAGCTGTGAGTCAACGTTTACATGATTTAATACGCAGTCTGGCCCTTCTGTTTCCACAACCCAAATGCATTAAGGGCCCTATTTATAGCCAGGCAGACCTCTCTCCAGTCTCTGCCTCGGCTCGCCTGGCCAAACACTAATTCAATCTGATCCATCACTCCTGTTTGCCTCTGGATACATCTACTCCACACACCCCTCCCAAAAACACCAACAACCACGTTGCTGCAGAAAGGATACTGAAGATGAGGGTGATGAAAGCCAGGGCTGCCAGGATGCTGCGCAGATGCCCAGTCCAGTAATGTCCTCTGGATTTTGCCATGCGGTACGTCAGGATGGACTGAAGGAATATGAAAAGCATGCTGGTGGGGAACGCCACACCTGCCCCGATGTAGTGCAGAACTTTAGCATGGTCCACCTAGGAGAAAGAAGCAGCACCTGATTAGGAATCCAAAACACGCAGTCACAGAACAGTAGGGACCCCGATGGTCATCTAACCCATGGGTAGGCAAACTAAGGCCCGGGGGCCGGATCCGGCCCAATCGCCTTCTAAATCCGGCCCATGGATGGTCCGGGAATCAGCGTGCTTTTACATGAGTAAAGTTAAAGGTAAAGGTACCCCTGCCCATAGGGGCCAGTCTTGACAGACTCTAGGGTTGTGCGCCCATCTCACCCTATAGGCCGGGGGCCAGCGCTGTCCGGAGACACTTCCGGGTCACGTGGCCAGCATGACAAGCTGCATCTGGCGAGCCAGCGCAGCACACGGAACGCCGTTTACCTTCCCACTAGTAAGCGGTCCCTATTTATCTACTTGCACCCGGGGGTGCTTTCGAACTGCTAGGTTGGCAGGCGCTGGGACCGAGCAACGGGAGCGCACCCCGCCGCGGGGATTCGAACCGCCGACCTTTCGATCGGCAAGTCCTAGGCGCTGAGGCTTTAACCCACAGCGCCACCCGCGTCCCGTTTTTCTACATGAGTAGAACGTGCCTTTTTATTTAAAATGCATCTCTGAGTTATTTGTGGGGCATAGGAATTCGTTCATATATTTTTTTCAAAATATAGTCCGGCCCCCCACAAGGGCTGAGGGACAGTGGACCAGCCCCCTGCTGAAAAAGTGTGCTGACCCTTGATTCTAACCCAACCCTCTGTAATGCAGGAATCTGTTGGCCCAATGTGGTGCTCGAACCCACGACCTAAGATTGAGAGTCTCATGCTCTACCAACGGAGCTATCCCAGCAGTACACAACCAGTTAGGTTGCCCAGTCTACATGTGCAGGAGAATGAGAATGTTTCTCTGGTTCCATTTTTCGCAGCCAGTTGCCACAGAGAGCTTGTTGCCAAGATGATTTGCAGGGGTCGGGCCTTGGCAGATCCAGCTCCTTCGGCTTTGAACAGACATCCCTCCACGCCCATTAAGAATAGTCAGAGGCAGGAAGAGAAAGCCAGACACTGCAATAAAGCATCAGCTGCTCAGGCAGCCCCATCCTCCCTCTCCTCTCTTCACAGAGACACAGCAAACATCCAAAGCACGACTGCCAAAACGAAGGGAAAGCAAACACAATGACACAGTTAATATGCCTGGCCCCTCTGGGTGCAGCAGGTTCCCATTGCCCCCAGGTCAGCTACCAGGCCTCTCAGCAACTGACAAAAGGAAAAGAAAGCACTTGGCCAGGCTGCTGGAGGAAGCCAAGTGTCACAAAATGCTGGGAAACTTTGAGTGCAAGTATAAGGTAAAGGTAAAGGGACCCCTGACCATTAGGTCCAGTCATGGCCGACTCTGGGGTTGCGGCGCTCATCTCGCTTTACTGGCCGAGGGAGCCGGCGTACAGCTTCTGGGTCATGTGGCCAGCATGACTAAGCCGCTTCTGGCGAACCAGAGCAGCGCACGGAAACGCCGTTTACCTTCCCGGTGGAGTGGTACCTATTTATCTACTTGCACTTTGAGGTGCTTTCGAACTGCTAGGTTGGCAGGAGCAGGGACCGAGCAACAGGAGCTCACCCCGTCGCGGGGATTCAAACTGCCGACCTTCTGATTGGCAAGTCCTAGGCTCTGTGGTTTAACCCACAGCACCACCTGTGTCCCTTGAGTGCAAGTGTAGAAAATGCCTAAAAACACCTACATCAGGTTCTAGAGACATCATCTGCAGACATCTAGTGACGTCTAGGGACACTCTTTTAACATTTCATCTCCCAGTCAATTCCTGCTAGGGATTCTCTGTCCCAGGGGCGTAGCGTGGGGGAGGGGCCCTGCCGGGACGATTGCCCCAGGCACATTTTTCTGGGGGGCGTGTGGCTCATGTCGCCCTCTCCGAGCCAGCCCTGTGACACTTTGCAAAGCTCTGGGAGGGCAGCATAAGAAGGACGCCACGCGCCCTTCGATCCCAGCCTTGCCCTCGAGGGGCTGGGGTTGAAGGGGACATGGCTGGTGCATCCTCACACTGCCCTCCCCAGGTCCCAGCCTAGTGAGCTGGTGTTGCTCTGGTGGCACCGGCGGCGAGGACTGGGCTGGCACACAGCAGGCTCTGTTTGCCCTCTGCGCCCTGGGCGCCATGAAAACACGCTCTGCAGCTGCTCTGTCGCCCTAGCTTGTTTAAGCTCATGTGCAAACCGCTAAAGCAGTCATGGGCATCATTTAAGCTCTAGGGGAGTGAGCAGCCACAGATACGGGGGGGTCTATCAAGAACAGCTGATTTTGTGCCAGAAGAGGAACTGCAATTGTGTAAGCCGGGGTGGCCAACTCCCGAGAGACTGCGATCTACTTTCAGAATAAAAATCTGGCAATGATCTACCCCTGTTTTTTGGGGGTTCAGGTCAAAGTTGTTGAGGTTTTTTTAGGGAGGAGAAAAGTCCCATTTTGGGGGTGTTCAGATCGGAGATGTTGAGCTTTTTTTACGAAGGAGGAAAGCCCCGTTTTTATATATATACTTACTTGGGGGGCTTAAAGGAAAGGGTCAAAGGTAAAAGGTCACTCACAATATCGCTTTGAATATCGCTCAGTCTTCCCTTCCACTGATCAGACAACAATGGAGGGCTGGGCAAGGGGGCGGGACAGGAGTCGATTTCAATGATACTGAGGAAAGGGAGCCAGAGATCGACCCTCGATCTACCAAAACCTCATGGGGATCTACCAGTAGATTACGATCGACCTGCTGGACATCCCTGGTGTAAGCCAGAGTGTCAAACTAAACCGGAAGCGGGGGCTCTATCTCTGGAGATCCAAAGACCCTTTGCTTTCCAACAAAGCAACTCCAAATCCCTCTTCCCCACTCCAAATATGCTACTGGTTACAAACAGGAAAACTTTTGGGTTTGCGTTCTTAAAGCCCACAAATTTCCCCCTCCACAGCTTATCAGAGATTGGGGAGGGTTTTGAAACTGGGGCCACGGTGCAGGGGCGAAAGGTTAACCCCCCTCCCCTGACTTCAATCCCAAATGCCCTCACATATTTTTCAGGGGGGGGCATGGGTGTTAGGAGATCCAAACACAAAGCTTCCACTTCATGTCTAGTCTGACCCACAATGGTTTGATTCAGGCCATGTGGTTCAGAGCCAATGGGACTGTGGCTACCTACAAAAGAGGGAGTTTGGGCAGGGCAGCCCAATGAAAAGTTCCATTCAGCGTCTTGCAGCGGTGAAAAAGGCAAATGCAATATTAGGAATTATGAGAAAAGGAACTAAAAATATAGCAGCAAATATAGCCAGGCCGCTAAATAAATTTACAAGACACCTGCAGCCAAATAATTGGTTGGCAGGTTTAAATATATGTGACACTCAGCTTCCCACACTGCTCCTTGACCTTTATTGCACCCTTAAAATTGCCAGGTCACAATGCGGCAGTGAGAGAAAATGCCACAGGTGGAAGAATTCTCCTTTTCCATGACTATTAAAAGCAGAGGAACTCTGCCAGTGTCTGACACTAGAGTTAACCATGCTACGGTGGCTTCCTTCTCCACGGATCCTAGTGTCAATAATGACACTCCTATCCCTAGGCTCAACATTAGTGAAGTTTTGCCACATATATGTGGAGTTTGCAGCCAAACCACAAATGCATGTTTTGCTAGACAAGCACGGGGCTACTACACAGAGAGTTCTTGAACTTCCTAGAGAGGGCCTTCTGTGAGGTCACTTCCCCTGCCTCCTTTGGGAGGCAATTTGGTAACAAAGGAGATAACCTTTGATACTTTCTCCTGCCTCTGAGGAGACTCTCTCTCCACCATGCTTCCAAAATGATCAGACGTGTCTAGGCACTCCAGACACACACAGTCAATTTTCAAGCCAACTTTTTATAATTTGTACCTGAGAAGTTTTCTTACTTGTGTTCTATTTGCTGCCTGCATTGAAATGTAAGTAAGCCATTTTTGTTTATCTTACTAAAAACGTGTGGTTCATTCTCTGCAACGGGGGTGAAGAGGGGGCGGTCAGCAGGCCACAGATAAAAGGGATTAAAAGGTGTAATTGTGTAATTTCTAAACCTTAGTAAGCCACAAAACATATAAGTGTTTTACCCTGCTAAAAAGGTTTCACAGGCTGCTTACTTTTGTATTTCTTCCATCACGTGGATAAAGTTTTAATTTTAATTTACAGATTTAATCCTCAATCTGTCTCCTGAAATATAGACATGCCACTTAAATTTAACATTTCACCCCACTCACTCTGTGATAGCACAACACAGAAATTATCTAAAAATAACATAAAATATCTCTACAATGCTCATATAAGCATAAGATGACTAGGTAATCAAGGCCACTGTTGTGCGATACTCAAAAGCAGAGCACCCTAGATAAGAGATATGCATTCTCCTCTTTAAACTCAAAATGCCCTCTCCTATCTTAAGGCTTTATATCAGAGACTGAAAGTTTGTGTATCTTCAGACGTTCTGAGACTACAACCCTAAACATTCCCAGCCAGCATGGCCAATGGGCAGGGGTGATAAAAGTTACAATCAAACAACACCTGGAAGGCCACAGATTCCCTACCACACTTTACACAAACGGAGGAGTCAGTCGTCTTACCTGGAAGTTGCCCACCATAATGAGGCCAGCTGCACAGATCCAGCCTAAAGCCAGCCCCAAAGTGTTGAGAAGGGAAGAGCCGTAATGTTCTATAACGTGCGCATATCTCAGCAGGCCAACCAGCATCACTAGGAAAAGGAAGCAAGAATCAGCCTCAACCATTGCCTGAAAAGCCTCTACCTAACTTGCACACAAGACCGGCATTTCTGCCCCCACCGTAAGCCAGAAAAAGAGCAAGAACGTTGATGCCCCACCAAATGAGTTCTTGCAACTCATATGAAATATAAAGGTAAAGGGACCCCTGACCATTAGGTCCATCGTGACCGACTCTGGGGTTGCGGCGCTCATCTCGCTTTATTGGCTGTGGCCAGCATGACTAAGCCGCTTCTGGCGAACCAGAGCAGCGCACGGAAACGCCGTTTACCTTCCCGCCGGAGCGGTACCTATTTATCTACTTGCACTTTGACGTGCTGTTGAACTGCTAGGTGGGCAGGAGCAGGGACTGAGCAACGGGAAGCTCACCCCGTTGAGGGGATTGGAACCGCCGACCTTCTGATCGGCAAGTCCTAAGCTCTGTGGTTTAACCCACAGCGCAACCCGCATCCCTAAATATAAAGGTAAAGGCAAGGTAAAGGGACCCCTGACCATTAGGTCCAGTCGTCATACAAAATATATGAGGCAGCTAATGCCTAAAAATCTCTTTTTTCATTTAAGAGAAAAAGATATTCCTAGCCTTTGGCTTATCTAGCTATCATCTATCTATCTATCTATCTATCTATCTATCTATCTATCTATCTATCTATCTATCATCTATCTATTTCATAGCATGCCAGCACCACCAGCAAAACAGCTACAGTACTCAGGGCCCAAAATCTCAGCTAAAGCATCCATGACAGATGACCACCCAACCTCTGCTTAAAAACCTCCAAGGAAGGAGTCCACAACCTCCAGAGGGAGACCATTCCACTCCTTCACAATTTCCCATTCTTCCCCCCTTATATTTTGTTCTCTAACACTTCTTTTCCTACAAAGAAATCCAAACATTTGCTTGGGGACAAACCCGACTCACCCATGAATGAGCCCAAGCTGCAGATCAGGCTGAAGAAGCAACTCTCTGGAGGGAATGTACCACACTTGCTGTAGGGAGAACATTGAGAAGGTATCAAAGCATGTTATCTCATAAGACCAGATAAGGAGAACAGTCCCAGGAATTTTGGAACCCCAGGCAAATACTGCATCACATGAGGCCTTAGTCCTCACTGTGGCATGAAAACAAAGTTTTCTGTTCAGATTTTCCTGGATCTTATATTCTAGCCTGGAATTTCACTCTGGCCTGGTAAATAAACTCTCAAGAGAACTAAAAGGTCATGTAGTTAGGACAGCTAAGATTATGTTGGAAGATTTAAATAAGGAAGGAGGGGCAATGTACAATTCAGCAGTGTTTAAATTGTAATTAATTTTACTCTTGCATATTATAATCTTTGCATGCAACAGCCACATTATATTTTCCTTTCTCAAAGATTCATTTATTATAATGTGCTGTTAATTGCACTTTGATTATTATTATTATTATTATTATTATTATTATTTTATTTATACCCCACCCTCCCCGGCCAGGACTGGGCACAGGTCGGCTAACATCAAAGTATGATACATTAAAAGCATAAATCAAACAATTGATTAAAATACAGCTTAAAATCAAATTTGGAGCAGAATAAAATCAGATGGCAACCCACGGATTAGAACTATAGGGGATGGGAACATTGAGTGCTCACCAGGCCCAACTGTTAGTGCTTACGTCTTTTATAAATATGTTTACAGCTTTTATAAACTGAGCAGGCAGGACCATATAACACCAGTTCAAAAATACCTACATTGGCTCCCAGTGTGTTTCCAACCACAATTCAAAGTGTTGGTGTTGACCTTTAAAGCTCTAAATTACTTTGGACCTGTATACCCAAAGGAGCATCTCCACTCTCATTGTTCAGCCTGGACCCTGAGGTCCACCTCTGAAGGTCTTCTGGTGGTTCCCTCACTGCGAGGTTACAGGGAACCAGGCAAAGGGCCTTCTCGGTAGTGGCACCCGCCCTGTGGAACGTCATACCCCCAGATGTCAAAGAAATAAACAATTACACAATTGATCAAAGACATCTGAAGGCAGCCCTGTATCAGGAAGCTTTAAATGTGTGATGTTCTACTGTGTTTTTGTATATTCTGTTGGAAGAAGCCCCGAGTGACTGGGGCAACCTCGTCGAATGGACAGGGAACAACAAATAAATTTTTATTATAAGCCCCAGCAATCATCTGGTCAAGCAATCAATAGTACAATTTAAGGACACACTCCAGCCAGGCAAAAGCATGTGAGGAGGATGCAGAGCTGGGCTGGTGAGAAGTTGTGGCCAGGGGAGAGTCCTGAAGGCCAGTTGGATAGGAATGGAGGGCTATATTTGGCCTGAAATTTCACATACCTGGCCTGCAAGGCTGCTTCTGAACTCCAGACATCACCCACCAACCTGCCCCAGGGAGCAAGGAATAGCATTCCTTACCTGACAAGAGGGATATGATCCAACGTACAGCAGGAAATAGGGCTATCCAGCTCACAGGATTGATTATAAATCCTGCAAAGGAAAGCAGAGCGTATTACATGAAGGCTTTGCACCTCTAAACAAGGCAAACTATTTTTAAAATCTTTTTTTCCCACCAAAGAGGAATAACAGAAGAATAAGTTTGGGTCCATTCAGAAAGATGCCATCCTGTCTAGAAACGGCCCAAACTCCCCCAAATATCACTTAGCAACGAATTCTATGGGCAAGCAGCAAAGAATGACAGGTGCAGTAGATTTCCCAAATACGGAGAATACAAAGAAGAACCAGGAAGAAGCATATTCTCCAACTAGATATATATTCCCAAGGACAGATGTTCTGCAATGCCACACAACAGCTGGGCAAGCATGGAATTCTGAGAATCCCAATTTTTTGTTTAAAAACGTTCTATCTATCCCCATGAAGAATGGCTGTGAAGAGCAGCTCTTTTCAAATTTGCAACCATTGAATGCAGCAGGAGAGCAACAACATTAGGGACAAGGCCGGATTCTGAAGACCCAAAGATTTCTCAAACATATAAACCCAGTCTGAGGCCCTTATCTGTGTGTACCTCCCAGAGAGGTTCGGAGGGTGGCAACTAAAGGTAAAGGTAAAGGTACCCCTGCCCGTACGGGCCAGTCTTGACAGACTCTAGGGTTGTGCGCCCATCTCACTCAAGAGGCCGGGGGCCAGCGCTGTCCAGAGACACTTCCGGGTCACGTGGCCAGCGTGACATCGCTGCTCTGGCGAGCCAGAGCCGCACACGGAAACGCCGTTTACCTTCCCGCTAGTAAGCGGTCCCTATTTATCTACTTGCACCCGGGGGTGCTTTTGAACTGCTAGGTTGGCAGGCGCTGGGACCGAACAACGGGAGCGCACCCCGCCGCGGGGATTTGAACCGCCGACCTTTCGATCGGCAAGCCCTAGGCGCTGAGGCTTTTACCCACAGCACCAGACATTTTTTCCTGTACCACAAAGGCTTTCCTCTTCACGTGGCCATTTTGATGGAAGCTTGGTGTTTTTAAAACTTGCCTAGATACTGCTCTGTGTCGGGCAAATAACCCCAAGCATAGTGGACTGGTTTAGCACTCCTGAAAGCTCTAAAAAACAAAACAAAACAAACACTCTTCTTTCCTCGGATGCCTTCTTGGAAATACAGTGGTACCTCGGGTTAAGTACCGTATTTTTCGCACGATTGGACGCACCGGACCATAGGACGCACCTAGTTTTTTGGGGGGGAAATAAAGGAAAAAATTTTCCCCTTTATTTCCCCCCCCAAAAGCAGGTCAGGGAAACCGAACCAGGTCGAGGAACAGCGGCATAGTGGCGCTGCGCCTCCCTGCTGTCCCCCAAGCTTGTGGGGCTGGCCGATGTCTGTCTGGCGGGCGGGGAGCTCTGCTTCAGGGCGCCCCACCCGCCAGGCAGCAGGCTGCTATCCGCAGCGTGGGGAGCCCTGTGGGGAACTCCTGCAAGGTTCCCCACTCTGCGGATGTATGCCTGGCGCGAGGGGCGCTCTGCTTCAGGGCGCCCCACCCGCCAGGCAGCAGGCTGCTATCCGCAGCGTGGGGAGCCCTGTGGGGAACTCCTGCAAGCCTCCCCACTCTGCGGATGTCTGCCTGGCGCGAGGGGCGCTCTGCTTCAGGGCGCCCCACCCGCCAGGCAGCAGGCTGCTATCCGCAGCGTGGGGAGCCCTGTGGGTAATTCCTGCAAGGCTCCCCATGCTGCAGATGTGTTCCCGAAGTGCCTGGAGCTCTGCTTTCAGGGCGCCTGGCGCTCCGGGAAGCAGGCTGAGCGGAGCGCTAATCCCGAAGCCCCAAGCTTCGGGATTAGCGCGGCGCTTCACTAGCCCTGGGAGAGCCACGCAACGTCGCGGGGCTCTCCCAGGGCTAGCGAGACCTTGCCGGCACCCAGAAGCTTGGGGCTCCGCACGCCCCAAGCTTCTGGATTAGCGCAGCGGTCCGCTAGCCGTGGGAGAGCTGGGTCTCCCACGGCTAGCGGATAGCTTCCTGAAGCCTGGAGAGCGAGAGGGGTCGGTGCGCACCGACCCCTCTCACTCTCCAGGCTTCAGCGAAAGCCTGCATTCGCTCCATAGGACGCACACACATTTTCCCTTGCTTTTTGGGAGGGAAAAAGTGCGTCCTATGGTGCGAAAAATACGGTACTTAATTCGTTCTGGAGGTCCGTACTTAACATGAAACTGTTCTTAACCTGAAGCACCACTTTAGCTAATGGGGCCTCCTGCTGCCGCTGCGCCACCACCGCACGATTTCTGTTCTCATCCTGAAGCAAAGTTCTTAACCTGAAGCACTATTTCTGGGTTAGCGGAGTCTGTGACCTGAAGTGTATGTAACCTGAAGCGTATGTAACCCGAGGTACCACTGTACAGATCAGATGCAGATGAGGGTGGTGTTATGTACTGAAGTTCTCACCCTGGGACAGCAGGGGGATACTGTAGATAGTTATGCAAATGAAGGATCGAAAGTGACGTTCAGTGATTGGATAGTTTGTATGCAAATGAAGGATCGAAAGTGACGTTCAGTGATTGGCTAGTTACAGAAAATGGTTACTGTTGCATTCTAGTGGAGCTCTATATAAGCAGGCTGACTGAGCTTCTCAGTTCAGTTCTGTTCCAGCTTACAAATAAAGAGCTGCTTTGGAGGAATCGCTGTGTCGTCTGATATGTTCGCCCACAACTTAACAGGTGGGGAACCTCCCTTTCAAAGGCAACAGAGCCGGGCCTTCCTGAGGCTGGTTCTGGAAAGCGGAAGTGAGCCACCAGTTCAACAGACTCCAAATGGCCCAGAGGAGGGGAGAGCTTTCCCTGGGATAGACATGACTCATGCACAGGTTTGGCCAGAGGAGGCAACCATTCCCAGAAATTGCAAGGTGGCTTTGCCCTAAGGGGGAAACTTCAAGGGGGGAGAGGAAACAAAGCCGGACTTGCTGAAACTGGTCTTCCAGTTTCTTGAAAGTCTTTTCCCCCCATGAAAGAAGCCTCTGTTTCTTTGTCCCATTCACTAACGGGTGCTTTCCTTTATCGTTTTGATGGCTGCGGGACTGACCTTACCTTACTGGTTGAGAAGTGGCCGAGGGTGGTGTGTGTTTGTGTTTAAAGGTAAAGGTAAAGGACCCCTGACAGTTAAGTCCAGTTGCGAACGACTCTGGGGCTGCAGCGCTCATCTCGCTTTACTGGCTGAGGGAGCCAGCGTTTGTCCGCAGACAGTTTTTCCGGGTCATGTGGCCAGCATGACTAAGCCACTTCTGGCGAAACCAGAGCAGCGCATGGAAACGCCGTTTACCTTCCCACTGGAGCGGTACCTATTTATCTACTTGCACTTTGACGTGCTTTCGAACTGCTAGGTTGGCAGGAGCAGGGACCGCGAACCGCTGACCTTCTGATCGGCAAGTCCTAGGCTCTGTGGTTTAACCCACAGCGCCACCCGTGTCCCGTGTTTGTGTTTAGTTGCCATTGAAAATTTTTCCAGTGCTCTCCAATTCTTCCCCTGGGCTTTAACTGGTAGGGAGGCTGACTACCAAGCCCCTGAGACTGGCGCATTTGTTGGTTTTGTTTTTAACCTAAGTCTTTCCTGTTTTCTAATCCATCTTTCCACACTGATGTATTTTAAAAGAGAAAAGGACTTCCCTTAAGAAGAATTGACAATGCACATCTGTCAAGAGCACAGCCTCTCCAGCTTCCAGAAAGCCCAGCCAAGGACATCATGGGGTTTTCGGGACAGGCATTCACTGCAGAATGCAGTGGAGAGATGATTTGCAAATGGAAGAAAAACGCATCTGCAAAATCCCTTGGCCACATCAAAAGATACATAAAGTGTGACAAAAACCCTGCACTCCATGCATGAGAATTTCACCAAAGTCCCCTTTGGTAATATTAGAATGCAATTTCTTTTCTTATGAATGGGTGAAGAATGATCGAGGGAAATAAATTTTCAATGCAGGATTATTAAGACACAGAAACAGATTCTCTTTGCATCGCATCTGGAGATGAAAAGAGGTGGAAGGAACATTCTTTCATATGTGGTGGATTTGTAAAAGGGTAAACAAGTATTGGGAAATGATCCATAATGAATGGAAAAAATTGTTCAAAAGTACTTTAAAAAAACAACAACACCCCAGTCCTTCCTGTTGGAGATAATTCAGACTGAAATTTTCAGGTGTCAAAAAAGGTTATTTATGTATGCTGTTACTGCGGCCTGTGTTTTGTTAGTCCAAAAATGGAAAACGAGCGAGGTCCCAACCAAAAAAGAATGGCAACTTAAGTTGACAGAATATGCACAACTTGCAGACTTAACATATAGAATAAGAGAACAAGAAGAACAAACGTTTAAAGAAGATTGGGAAACGTTTATTGAATATATGGGAAATAACTGTGCACAGCTGAAAACACTGGCAGCATTAAGATAAATTCAACAGCGTGAATAAGTTTTGATGGTTGCAATAATGGAATACTGAATGGTATAGTTTTTGTAAAATATGCAGGTTTTATTATATGTACACACAGAGCTTCCCAAGACGATGCTGGCACAGCCAAGCCTCCAGCTACACTTGCTTTCACCCTGCAAGATGCTAAAGCCAAAACAACTTGTTCCATATGGGGTAAGAATTTGGCTTCTACACCACCTGCTCATTACCTGCCTCACCCCCATCCCCACAAAACCAGACAGATGACATTTGGTGTCTCTCCATCTCCTTCCTAAGCTCTTTTGTTTACACCCTGAACTTATTTAAAGGCAGAAACACAAACAGTGGCAACCTCCTTCTTCCTCTCTCCCTCCTTGACCTTCCCCAAACCACAGCATTCTTGGCCCAGCTCAATATTATAATTTCCCCCCTGTTTATGCGACAGAAGCAATTGAGAAAACTTGGTGGATTCTTTTCCAGGGCAAGTATGTGCACCCATATTTTATATCAGCTATTTCCCAGCTGGAAATGCGGAATCAAACTAAATATAAGTCTTTTTCTTGGCTGAAGTGCTTGGCCACGAAGAGCTTCCAAGAAACACATTCTGCTATCTCTCC